CGGGAGGGAAGGGGGGGGGGGCATACGTGGAACTGTTGTTGGTCTTTCTGTCCTTTTATTTCTCTTGGTCTGTCATTCTCTTTCTCCTGCTTTCTAATTTTCTCCCACTGTCTTGTCATCTCTCCCTGTACACACACACACGTATATATATACATATCATAGGCTTTGGAGCGATTTTGAAAGTGGGGGGGCGCACTTCTGCGAGTGAATTCAATTCGAGGGCGCGTAAGCGCCCGTGAGAGGGTGGACGTGGGAGAGGGTGTCCCCCTCACACGGTATGGAAAATTTAATTTAATAATTTAATTGGACTGACACAATACAGTTTCATTGTCAACCCAAAAGCATTCTTTTATTAAAGTCGGTGATGCTAGTCTCTAAATGACAGTGTAACAAATCGGCACTGAGCTATGGTACTTAACCCTCCTTGTCCTCTCATGGTGGTACAGCATACAACAAATGCCATGCATGTGTATATGGGTGATAAGGATAAGTCCGATATGCGAAGCTGTGGACCTCGCCCGGGCTATGGGGGAGCCCGGCCTGTGCCGACGTATGTCGACTCGCTATCAGTGTGTCAGTAGGTGCTGACTCGGGTGAGCTTAGTCCTTACCCACCGTGGTGCCCAGCCACAGCAGTAACCTCCAGGCGACAATTGCAACTTCTCGCGCCTGGGCGGGGCGCGAACCGCCGACCCCTCGGATGAGAGGCCGACACGTTACCACTGTACTAGCCCGGAGGCTTATATGGGTGCTTGGTTCCAAACCACAGTACTGGCTAAGTGTCTCGGCTGGTGTATCTTATCAAAATATGTCATAAGGCCATCTCAATACCCGGTATAGCATGTACAAGGGATCAAAAGGTCTGGGACTGAATCCTGTTGCTGCTGTAGTGACGTGCTAGTGGATGAACCTGTGTAGTAACTAGCTAACTGCACTTGGCCCCCCTGGGCCAAAGAGTGTGGGGGGGGGGGGCTATGCATATGTCTTTCTTTCTGCCTACTGAAACTTCTGATTGACTGGCTACAGCAACCCACGTCGTATTGTACGAGTAAAAGGTCTGTGAGACAATATCAGTAAAATATTACTTCTTTACCAGAGAACAGAATGATAGAAAAAAACAAAAACAAACACAGTATCATCAGTGTTCTGCTTGACCAGGATGTGAGACACGGCTGCTTTTGCTTGAACGGTTTCGAAACCTCGGCTCTCCTTAGGTCGAAGAGCTTCGGAGTCAGAGAGTAGTTCAGAGCACTCGTCCCGTTGTGTACTTACTTGCTTGTCATTGTCTCTGTGTTTTACATTGTTTGGAGCAGAAGGACTTACTTTTCGGTAGAGGGAGATAGTTCCAAGGGCGCGAGGGCGAGGAGACACTATCCTTATGGCCTGGTGGTGGGCGGCGGTCGTGGCGGCGCTCCTACAGGTGGCTCTCAGGTGGCAGGAGTAAGAGACACTTGTCATGACCACTGTGATTCTAGTTTATTATCTGTGTTTCCACATTGATGGCTCTACAAATGCCTTTTCACTAAGTTTATCACTAGTCTTTCCTGTCTAACGTTTAATCCCTTACTTGATTTTAGGAAAGATTCTTTATTCATTCTTTATTGCAGTTAGTATTACTAGTAATATAATCCCCATAACATTAATAATAATGATAATGATATATCAGTAGCATTAGAAATCTCCTAACTCACAGAAAGAGGAAATCGGGCAAGGTCCCGTAAGCCTACTAATTGGCTCTTTGATGGCTGTGCACTTTGTTCAAACAAAATTAACAAAGCAGAACTCCAATGGACTGTGCATGTACCAGGCAACGCTGGGTTAACTTGGGCATGAATTCAGTGAATAATCGCGAAGATTCACACTGAAATGCTTTCGTATATATCTTTTATAATCATGAAGTTCTAGTTTGCTGTAAAAAGGAAATGCTCGAAAATGAGGCTACAATGGATTCTCGGAAAAAAAAAGAAAAGAAAAGAAAAGGAAAGATCAAAGATGTATATGTTGTCAATCGTTTGAACAGCCTACACCTTAGGGTGGGTCCACACACCCAACCAGAACGTCGCAACGTAACAGTGTGGACGAGACCTCGTAACGTCACTGTTTATTCCCCGAACTAACACATTGAGCGCGTCGGGGTCCGCTTCCGATGTCGATTTTTGCGCTGCGCATCAAAGGGCATTACGGGGAGGGGCTACCCTATGTGTGTTCGACGCGTATCAATTGGCTAGTCCCGCTGCACCGCTGTCGCCTGCCAGTCCAAATACACCCATTTAGGTGCTACCAATCTCGTGATGCTTAATCTGACGACATTCTGATGTTTTTGTAGTGGCTAGAAACTTGTCGGAGCCTCATGTCTGCCATTAATTCCCGTCCACTGTTATCCATTCGTCTACAATATGACACCATCTTGTTGGATACGCGGCATCTCCGACAGGTAAATTTGCCATTGTCAGTACAAACTCCACCACGGACCTCCTGACTTTTCCTGATCATGAAAGCTCGCGACGGACTCAACAATAGCACACTCTGCTACGAGTGTATTCGTCGCGCAACACGGCCTTGTTGCAATATAAATAATACAAATATGCTTCATTTTGAAACACTGACCAGGATTCTAATAACTTCATTATCTACTATCAGGCGAGGCACCTGGCACTACCACAGTCATGGAGCCAGACACCACTCGGACCAAACAAACAAACAAACAAGACAAGATTGCCTCAAACAAAAAATTCTTACCTTCTCGTTGTAAGGAACAGCGAAGATCCCCTCTGCAAAATCGCGTATTTCCTTATCCTTCCCTTTCACTTAATTACAAACCGTTTCGCTTGAGCCTTCCGTAACTTAATCCATTGCTGCCTGTCAACTGTAGTTTTCCTTCGTGAAATTTGCTTGCACGTAGATAGCTCCATAAGTACTAAGGAGCCAATTAGTAGGCCTCCGTGACTTCACCTGATTTACCTTTTCCTCCAGCTTTGGCAGATTATTTTTTTTGCTATTGATAGAGAGTTTATCATTATTGTTATTGTTATCATTATTGATGATGTTCTTAAAAATACTAATAACAATGAAGTATATTTCTGAAGACTCTGGGAAAAGGTATACAGTTGAGATAGGTAGGACTAGTGATTGACTCTTTTCGGATTGATCCATTACTAAAAAAAAAGAAAGAAAGAAAAAAATGTGGAGATGGATTGTATTTTAGCCATCTCGGAATAAGTCGATTAATCTCGTTTCCCTAAGTACTTTGGAATTGAGTTATACGTTATATATTGTTGATTTGTTTTATATAATATTTTGGAAAGTTCGTAAGGAACTTTTAATGCCAGATTTTGTTCATCACGCACACACACATTTACATATGCATGCACACATACACTCATACTTACACACACACACACACACATATATATCTGCTGTGTGTGAATGAAACAACGAAAGGAAGAAAACGCGAATATGCCATGTTCATTGTGCTCATATGCTATATATACAAATGGCCAGTAATGAATGTAAACTAAAACGGAACATAAACATATATCTAGTGAAGAGAATTGTGTCAAGATAAAGTTTGACATCAAATCATTTGCCATATATATATATATATGCACGCACACACACACACACACACACACACACACACACACACAAACACACACACACACACTAACGCACATATATGTGTGCGGGCATAACGAAGGGACTAGAGGAGACTGTCATATGTCATGGATAGCATGTATATATATTTTTTCAGCTTTGTAACACAATCTATCTCCCTTTTTCCTATCTTTACCTTTCTACCCCCACATATATGAAAAGACAAAAGAATAACAGGAAGAATTTGGTGTATATATTCGCCTCGGGGCTATAAGGGCTTTGGAACACAGGGGAGGAAAGCACTCTATCCCTTTTACTTTGTTTCTTTCATTTATTTATTTGTACAATTCGATTTCTTATCCTTTTTTGTTACAAAGCTTGTCCCTAACACTTTTTTTTATTCGCAGACTTGGAGCTATAACTTAAAAGACTTTCATGGTTTTATTGACGTCCAATTCGTGAACATATCGAAAGGTAAAACATAACTTCAAGCTTTCAAGGAGACAGTTGTTCTGCCTCCTATAACCACCATGAATAGTAAAAGAAGAAATAAATACCTGTTATTTTGTATTGACAACTGGAAATACATTTATGATGCTTATTTGACATACAAACATCCGAGCAACTGCAGGCAGTTGATTAAAAATGACGAGGCAAAGAATCCGATGCGTATGATGAACGTACGCATAATACGCACATATGTATAAATACACACACATATATACGCTATAAGTAGTTACAAATGTCTCAACATGTTTGCAAATATTCAAATTTTAATTATTTTATTTTCATGTATATTTAAAGCATGAAGCGTTTTCATTTTTAAGAAATGTGCATCTATAATGGACAATCGTTCTGTTTAAAGAAGGGGGAAAGGCCGCCTCATCTCCATAGGTGTTGCCATTTCGAGCAATAAACAATTCCATTGAAAAAATATCCCACCACAAAGTCAAGAATAACTAATACTGCACTTGCTATCGGCTATTTGAAGAAAACGAAAAGAAAAATCGAACGCTTTACATAGAGCCCAAAATGGATATTATGCTGGTTATTACTTTCTACCAATCACACTCTCTGTTACAGACAACCTAGGGTTTTCGCCTCATTCATAAAGATACTATTTACGCTATGTTTACTTCGAAATGGTTGCCAGATGTACAAAAGTGGGACTCAACAAGTGTATTGAAATATGATTCAGAAACTGTACACGTAAAGCTATCGTGTTTCAGTGAGACCTTAATCGCTGTGTCCATATCATATTATAATAATTAAAGTGAGAGGAAATTCTTATCACACATCCTGCTTCTGTTACGTCAAAGTCCTGAAATATTAAACACAATACGAATGATAGTACAGGTTTTATCCGTCGTAAAATGATAAATCTGAACACGGGCATGAGCTTTGTCTGTATCATCATGTTTAACGTCCTCTACTACCATACTAACAATCATTAGCTGACATGTATATCGTTCAAAGTTTCATATTCTTATTCTGAACACCAGCAGAAACTGTTTCGTATTCTTCGGCTTAACTTCGTTGAAAATGATCAGCCGAAATGTACATGTCATTTTCTGTTTCAACTTCCTCCCTTACGACCAGACCCGCTTCACTTCGTTGAAAATGATCAGCCGAAATGTACATGTCATTTTCTGTTTCAACTTCCTCCCTTACGACCTGACCCGCTTCAAACTCGCCCTTAACATGCACTGCTTGGTGGAAATGTCCGGGCATTTCTTGTTCACTTTCGGCTTCGTTAGTCTTGTGGCAACAGGTCCTGAGGGCCTGGCACAGCAGCTGCATCTTTCCACAAAGGTACTTCCGTTTGTACAGCAGGAGGCCCAGTATTGGCAGCAGGATGAAACACAGCGGCCACAATTTTCCTGTGAAAGTAAACACATCTAAGAGCATATCTAGTATATCTTTATCAGTATTCGGTGCACTAAATATAGAAGTTGTTTTTTAGTCAAATCATGTTGAAGAATTTACGCTGTCCGTGTAGTTTCTACTAAATGATGATAGCATTAAGTGATTATAACTTTTGAAGACCCGTGGAAAATACCTTGACGTGAGTAGTAGATTCAAGTATTTCTATTAAACCATAGTAGGTTACTCCTTGCGCCAAGACACACCTAAGCCGTAGATGGATAGCTCCAGATATTTTATGACCACTTAAACTCATTCGCCCCATGTGACAAGAGTACATGTCATACCCACTGTAATACACTTATATTTACTGTATTTACACATAGATGGCTCTACAAGTTCTTAATCAGCAAATAGCCAATTATCAGAACTACCTATCTCACCTGTTTAACCTCTTCCTTCACATTAGGAAAGGGTCTTTTGTATCATTTCATTGTCTAAAATATTTTAATGACAATTTAATAATCATAACATCAATAACAATAATAACAGTATCGATAGCAATGGTATTAAGAAAAAGACATTTTCCCGCCAATTCAAGGAATGGGAAAATCAGGATCGGTAACTAGGGCCTACTGATAGATTTCTTGCCGGCTGAGCTCATGTGGAGCCATCTGTATGTAACAACATTCACCAAAAACTACAGGGGACAGAATATAAATGGGCGAATGGGTTAAGGAGGCGGCCACCTCCCTAAGTAGTCCCACGCTTCAGTCATCAAACGAGCTTTAGTCTCACAGCAAAGGAGGATGGAAGAAGCAGACCTTCTACAATTAACTAGCATTTGATAACACTGCACTGCAGCAAAGGAATCACAAACTGTTTCTATACTTGTATCTAATACTAACACACACACACACGAGTGTGTATGCGTACACACACACACACCACACATAGATATACAGACATGAGTGTGTGTATATACACACACGCACACATATAATCTTACATGCATACATATACATAAATGTGTATTTATGTGAATATGTTTGTATATATATACATAGACATACACACACAGTGCTCAGTGCTCTGAGTGGATTGAGCGACGCCTTGTTCAATGTTCTGAGAAGTGTCTCGCTCGTTTTGCCAGATGTCTTCTCCGTCTGTGAATGCCGATATGATTAAGAAACTGAATCCAATTAAAGGCTTCGAAATCTAAAAACTTGAGTTATGATTTCATATGGAATATAAGCCAAATTATTGAGCAGAACTGAATAAAACTAGATAAAAATGAATAATATAGCTAATCTAAAAATTGAGACACAGAAATCACGCATGGAAAGAACTGCCAAACTCTAAATTGGTGATGGTAAAAAAATAAATAAATAAATAACATATAAACATACACACACATATACAAGTACATATGCACACACATTATATGATTATATGTACATATACATGTGTGTATATATATGTATACGATATATGAATTTGTGCACCTATATACACAACCATGCATAAACACATATGTTTATAAACAAGCATACATTTATACCAATAAATATATATGCCAAGAAAATCGCGGATTAAAAGAACTATGTGAATGTAGAAAAGATATAGAAACTTCCCCAAAACATTATCTAAAGCAGAAGTACTGTATATAAGAATTGCCGTATTTCGGCAGCAGACCTGTCTCGCTTTGTTCCGTGGCCTCAGGGGATTGTTTCATGCCTTGTTCAGTGCTCTGGGTGGATTGAGCGTCGCCTTGTTCAGTACTCTGGGTGGACTGAGCGTCGCCTTGTTCAGTGCTCTGGGTGGATTGAGCGTCGCCTTGTTCAGTGTTCTGGGTGGATTGAGCGTCGCCTTGCTCAGTGCTCTGGGTGGATTGAGCGTCGCCTTGCTCAGTGCTCTGGGTGGATTGAGCGTCGCCTTGTTCAGTGCTCTGGGTGGATTGAGCGTCGCCTTGCTCAGTGCTTTGGATGGAATGAGCGTCGCCTTGCTCAGTGCTCTGAGAAGTGTCTCGCTCGTTTTGCCAGATGTCTTCTCCGTCTGTGAATACCGATATGATTATGAAACTAAATCCATGTGAATGCTTCGAAATCTAACAACATGAGTTATAATTTCATATAGAATATAAGTCAAATTACTGAACAGAACTGAATAAAAAATGACGAAAATGACTACTATAGCTTATCTAAAAAGTGAGACACAGATATCATTCATGGAAAGAACTGCCCAACTCTAAATAGGTGATTGTAAAGAAAAAAGAAAAAAAGAAGAAAAAGAAAAAAAAAAAAACCTTACTGCAAGTGATGCAGAAAGGAGGATTGGAAATTCGAATGTACAAGGAGAAGATCTGGTTTGTCTCCGGAATGTCCAGCTTCCGCCATGTTCCGTGAGTCTTTGCGAGCACACTTGAGCGGTCGATGTTTAGATGGAGTTCACTTGAAGAGTTTCGTAGATCAAATTTTGTGCTGTTAATTGTTTCACTATCTTTCATAGTAATGATGTGGAAGGCATCGGCTGTTCTGTTGAGTGAGAGACCGAATACATTGTTTTTGTTTTTGTTGCGAAAGTCCATTAACAGGTTCTTTGAAGTGTCTTTGAAGTTCAGACGAGGCTCTAAACAGTAGAAATATCCTCTTCCTTGTGATAGCTCCCCTTCTTCATAGCAATCTAGAAAAGAGTAGTATCGTATTTGCTTTAGAATTCACTGAATTTGATCACTTTTTCTGATAAATGTAGCATTCCGTATCTATAACAATCTAGAGAAAAAAGAGATAGAAGAAATGTAGTATGGCTTCAAGTTGTATATGCTTTAGAATTTCTTGACTTTGATTCTCTGTTAAATGAATATCTTACTACTCTCTGTAGAAAGGGCGCGTGAACAGGCCAGCTGCAGGAGCGCCGCCACGACCAGCCTCCGCCAGCCGGCCATCGCAGCAGCCGCGGTGCCTCGCCTTCGCACCCTGGGAAGCTTGCAGCTCCTTGGACAAGAAACTCTTCTGCAGGGAAAAAAAACTGGGGTCCACTGATTCAGAGCACGCACACAGGGATGAACAAGCAAACGGCGAGACGCCCAATGTGAGGGCCTCTAACACACGCTGCGTCTTCGAGACTAACGAAAAAGCAAGGATCATCCGGTCTTTTGAGACGAGTGTTAGTTACGTCACAGTTTCTGATAAAATTGAATTCAGATGTCACTCTGCGTGACATTCATGGACCTGTTTTTTGACCTGAACTCCTGAGGTAATGGGATAATGTTCATGATAACGACAAAGTATATCGTTTTGCACATCTCAGTTCCTTCACTCGAAGTCCTTAGTGGGAAGATCGTAGGAAATGAAGAGAGTTTTATGTATGACCTGGCAACTCACTGTCTTCTCAGCATCAGCGGTGGGTAATCAGGAAACCAGGAAGTTTTTTTTATTTATTTATTTATTTTTTTTAATAGATTCTTTTGCCTTATATATACATGTTTCAAAAAGATGCAGAAGCCTCATATCCAACCACGAAGAATAATTATGGTAAGAAAACCTGCTTTACTTGAAAGAAACAACGGATACTTTGCGAGGAACGACGCACATTTACATGCGCATATTTACATATGTATTTACTTATATGTTGTATATATAAATTATATAATGTATTTATATACTGTAAAAGGGCTTACTTTCTACATATATATACACATATATGCATATATAAATATGTATATATATATATATAAATATATATATGTATATATAAACATATAAGTATGTATATAAATGCATATATGTATATATATATATACACATATATTTAAGATTTTTGTATATATATATGGAAATATATATATATATATATATATATAAGACACACCCACACACAAATATATATATGAAGAGAGAGACTTCTAGATAGATAAAGGTTTACATGCATACTTACAAACAAACACACACACTCTCTTTCTCTCATACACACACACATATATATGTGTTTGTGTGGTACTGTATAACTAGGGATGTAGGACGAATAATACACACGAGTTAGAGTCTTTTGAGAGATTGACAGATAAAGATTGAGAGAGTGAGAGTGAAAGAGATTGCGAGTGAGGGAGTGAGAGAGAATGACAGTGAGAAAAGGAGCAAAAGACAAAGGGAGATTTTAGAACAACCATTCATGAATTACGCATTTCCTAATTCGTATTTTCGTAAGATATATTTGCAAAATGAATATTCATTTACATCTTTCATGATATGATTTCTATGAAATAAATCTAGAATTTCAGAGGGATGTAACATTCAGAATTTATATATCTGACGGTGTAGACCTAATAGGTGACTTACAGGTGAAAGTCTCAAGGCATGAACACCACCACTACGAGTATGAGTAGTTAGTCCCATTTGCGAAATCTCTTGAGAAGAAATGACGAAGGCAGCAAATTTCATGAAAAGATGAGATGTAGTTCTTTAGTTCAATATATATATATGTGTGTGTATGAATGTATATGTGTATATATATGTATATACATATACATAAAGTTAAGCATTAGGTGTCAGCTGATTAGAATAAAGAAAAAATAAAGAAGTAGGGAATCAGAGTAGTCCGGAGTCCGCGGTGAGGTTCCAGCTTTTTATTTACTGAGATTAAACACGCTATAGGTCTAGGGTACTGAAGTTTATTCTCCAATCTTAGAAAACATGAACTCTGACATGACAATACAAAACGTAGTTGAAATGGATTTACCTGTAAGTAGTATGTCTCACTAAAGTAGGTATCTATCATGATCCTTTTTTTTCTCCTTCCATTGTGTATGGACGGGCCTATATATGTGTGTGTTTATGTATATACATACATATTTATAATGAATATAAACAAATATATAGATATATGTATAAATATATATACTTACACGAACATATATTCATATATATGTAAATGGTTACACTTGATGATAAGCTAAGAAATCACACACTGCGAAATAATATGATCTTAATTTCTATGCTACAGAAAAAAAAGTGTTGGAAGTTAGTGCAGTAAATATGCCAAGCATTTTTTTGTATTGTCATATATCTACTATATTTACATCTGCCAGTCTCTCTTTCTATGTGTGTGTTCCTTGTTTAATATTCCTCACATGTGAGCACGTGAACGTCAGCAGAAATGCACATGTCATTCAGCATTTGGTATTTTATACTTGCCTGTTGTTAGCAGAAATTTAGTTTATGTTTCCTAATCCTCCCACTCAATCATTACGTGTAACACCCTCTACTGCCATACTAACAACACACACATATATCATGCACTGTTTTGTATTCCGTATTCTTCGTCTTCACATCGTTGAGCAGCATCAGCCGAAATGTACATATCATTTTCCGTTTTAATTTCCTTCCCTTCGACCTGACCCGCTTCAAGTTCGCCCTTGTTTTGTTCCACTTCCTTCTGTCCAAGTTTGATGAAAATGCCCGGACATTTCTTGCTCACTTTCCCTCGTGGCTTCGAGGTCCCGAGGGCCTGACACAGCAGGTGCATCTTTTCCAAATGGCATATTTACACACACACACATATATATATGTATGTGTGTGTGTGTGTACACACATGTAAACGCACACACGCTTATAAATATCTATACGCACGCAAATGTATATCTTGCAAGAAAAATTCGGTTAAGACTTCAACAGGAATGTAACAGTGCTATAGAATGACCTCCTGAAGAGAACATGTAAATACCGTAAGCACATTTTTGTTTTCGGCATCAGACCTTTTTCACTTTGTTCCGTGGCCTGAGTGGTGTCTGTCGCGCCTTGTTCAGTGTTGTGAGTGGTGTGAATGACGTCTTGTTCAGTGTTGTTGGTGGTTTGAACGACGCGTTGTTCAATACTGAGAAATGTCTGCCTCGAAGGCTTTGTCGTTGTGCCAGATGTGTTCTCCGTCTGTGAAAAGCGATATAATTAAGGAATTAAATGGAATCCGGTTGAATGTTTTCAAGGTTAACAGCATTCATGATAATTCTGTTTACAGTTCCAGACAAACAGCTGAATGGATAATAAGCAAACATGGAAAATACATATGTACTTGATTACATTTCATTATTTATTTACTAATCGAAACTATTAGGCGAGCTGTCAGACTCAATTGGTAATGGGAAGTAAAGAAAGAAACGTGATGCATAAAGCAGGATTGGGAAGGAAACTCCGGAAGTACAAGGAGAAGATCTGGTCTGTCTTCGGAAAGTCCAGCTTCCACCATCTTCCGTGAGTGTTTGCGTGCACACTTAAGCAGTTGATATTTAGCTGCGCCTCCATTGAAAAGACAATTAGATGTACAGTTGTGCTGTTGATTGCTATATTTCCTTTAAAAGCAATGAGGTTTACGATAGCAGCTGTTTTGTTGAGTGCTAGACTGGTTAGTTTTATCGTTTTTATTACGAAAGTCCATTGTGAAGTTCAGAAAAATAAGAGAAATATACAATTCTATCGGATTCACTTAATTTGGTCTTATATAGAACATTCTCGGATGAATGAACATGTTACTGCTGTCTGGAGTCAGGCCGCGTGAAAAGGTCAGCTGCAGGAGCGCCGCCACGGCCAGCTTCTCCAGCCGGCCATCACAGCAGCCGCGGTGCCTCGCCTTCGCGCCTTGGGAAGCTTGTAGCTCCTTGGACAAGGAATTCTTCTGCTGGAAAAAGCCTCTGTTGTTCCTCTGGTGCAGATGACACAGATAAGGATGATAAGCACACGACAGGGACGAAATCCTAACAGTGATTGTCCAGTGTGTCCAGCTTGTTTTACATTTGAAAGATCTGGCAACTTGTATGTATCACTGAGTCAGAAAGTTATTTTATCTTAGTATAAAAAAAGAAAAAAATGTATATCTAAGAAAAAGATGAATGATAGTAGTTTTTCTTTGAAAACAAATATGCTTCAGTCCCACATTCCTTTTTGTATATTTTTGGCCTATATTCATAACATAAAAGTTAGCAAAAGCCTTTGAACTGATAAGTAATAAGACTAATGATGAAAAATATTTACAGTGCAATAAAAGAAGCAATGTATCTGTTTTAAGAATTTGTATATGTAAAATGTGATACAGATATGTAACTGTATGTAATATGTATATATATATATATATATATATATATATATATATATATATATGTATATAAATATTTATAAGTTATACTAACAAAAATATAAACATACACATATATGTATATATATATACATATATACATATATACACACACACACACACATGTGAGTGTACAGATATATAAGTATATATAAGCAATGAAAGTAAAAAAGATTGTTGACTAATCGAGAGATTTGAATATGCCTCATAAACAAAGTCTACAACTGGCCAAGGAACTGAGAAGCTTTGTAGAATATAATTGTTACCCATGTGAGTTGACTACATTGTTTTTTTGTCGACTTTTTATTTATTGTTTTAATCGACTTGGTTATCAATTATAAAAAATCCGCATTGTATTTATCCAACATATAGCAAGTTTAAAATACGAAATCCTGAATGACATGTACATTTCTGCCAAACAGACTGGCAGATATAAATATAGTAGATATATGACAGTGCAAAAAAAAGGAAATGCTTGGCATTTATACTGCACTAACTTTCAACATTATATTTCTTAGTTAGCTTATCATCAAGTGTAACCATTTACATATATATAAACATATGTTCGTTAATTATATATATTTATACGTATATCTATATATTTGTATATGTTCATTATAGATATGTATGTATATACATAAACACACTTACACACATATTTATGCCCTTCCATACACAATGGAAGGAGAAAAAATAGGATCATGATAGTTACTTACTTTATTGAGACATACTACATACAGGTAAATCCATTTAATCTCAGTAAATGTGTTTAATCTCAGTAAATGTGTTTAATCTCAGTAAATAAAAAGCTGGCACCTCACCGCGGACTCCGGACTACTCTGATTCCCTACTTTATTTTTTTATTCTAATCAGCTGACCCCTAATGCTTATCTTTATATATATATATATATATATATATATATATAAACATACACACACACACACACACACACATATATATATAATGAACAAAACAATTACATTTTCTCCTCTTTTCATGAAATTTGCTGCTTTCGTCACTTCTTCTCAAGAGATTTCGCAAATAGGACTACTCATACTCGTAGTGGTGGTGTTCATGCCTTGAGACTTTCACCTGTAAGTCACCTATTAGGTCTACACCGTCATATATGAAATTCTGAATGTTACATCCCTCTGAAATTCTAGATTTATTTCATAGAAATCATATTATGAAAGATGAAAATGAATATTCATTTTGCAAATATATCTTGCGAAAATACGAATTAGGAAATGCATAATTCATGATTGGTTGGTCTAAAATCTACTATATGTTGATTAAATAAAATGCGCATTTTTTATAATTGTTAACCAAGTCGATTAAAACAATAAATAAAAAGTCGACAAAGAAAACATTGTAGTCAACGTATATGAGTAACAATTATATTCTCCTGCAAAGCTTCTCAGTTTCTTTCCAGTTGTAGACTTTGTTTATGAGGCATTTTCAAATCACTCCATTAGTCAACAAGCTTTTTCATTCTCATTTTCTGCATCTGTATTTATCTCTTCCTTTTTTTATTTATTCGAAATAAAAGATATATATACAAATACACTAAACGAAAATAGAATGTTCAGAAGAATAAGATGCCTTATTCATTAAATATACAAAAAATAAATGTACAAATACACTATTCCTGATCAATAACTTCCTGATGACAATGTGCATTGCAGATCGGGCACTCAGTATGGGCCAGCGCCCACGAACAGATGCGCACTGTAGATTTGGGGAGTCATGCATGGAGAATGAAGTGAACATGTGTAGAGATCGGAGCCAAGTGGCAGGTCGTGCTTTCGTGGTCGCCGTCGTCACTTTTGTTTCGGGTTCGTGAACCGTCGACGAGGATACGCAAATGGCTCGACAACCCGAATCCTCACACACACAATCACTCATTAACACATTTACAGGGAAACCATCACTAACCCTTTACATATATATATATATATATATATATATATATATATATATATATATAATATATATATATATATAATATATATATATATAATATATATATATATATATATATATATATATATATATATATGTGTGTGTGTGTGTGTGTGTGTGTGTGTGTGTGTGTGTGTATGTACGTATGTTATATATCATATATATTTCCATATATATACAAACATATCACATATATATGTGTATACATACATATATATATATATATATATATATATATATATATACATATGTGTGTGTGTATAAATATATACAAAGTAAACCCATATACAGTATATAAATACACTATATAATTCATATATACAACGTATAAGTAGATACACATGTGTGTACGTGCGCATGTAAATGTAAAAGTAGCCATTGTTTCTTTCAAGTAAAGCAAGTTTTCTTACGATAATTATTCTTCGTGGTTGCTTATGAGTTCACAGGCTTCTGCAACTTTTTAAAACCTGTATATATAAGGCAAAAGAATCTATAAAAAAAAAACTGACATAAGACGAAAGTTTAAAATTGTGTATGCATTTTACAAAGGATGATAAGTAAAAAAAACTTACTGGTTTCTTGATTCCCCGCCGCTGATGCTGAGAAGACAGTGAGTTGCCAGATCTGTAATACATAAAACTCTCTTCATTTCCTACGATCTTCAGACTTAGGACTTCAAGTGAAGGAACTGAGATGTGCAAAACGATATACTTTGTCATTATTTTGAACATTATCCCATTAGCTCAATAGTTCATGTCAAAGAACAGGTCCATGAATGTCACGCAGAGTGACATCTGAATTTTATCAGGAAGTCTGACGTACTAACACTCGTCTCAGAAGACCGGATGATCCTGGTTTCTCGTTAGTCACGAAGACGCAGCGCGTGTCAGAGGCCCTCACATTAGGCGTCTTGCCTTTTGCTTGTTCATCCCTATGTGCGTACTCTGAATCAGTGGAACCCAGCTATTTCCAGCAGAAAAGTTCCTTGTCCAAGGAGTTACAAGCTTCCCAAGGCGCGAAGGCGAGGCACCGCGGCTGGCGGAGGCTGGTTGTGGCGGCGCTCCTGCAGCTGGCCTTTTCACGCGTCCTTCCTACAGAGAGTAATGAGATTTTTATTTACCAGAAAATCAAAGTCAAGAAATTCTAACACAAATACGACTTGAAGCCATACTACGCTTCTTCTACCATTTTATCTCTAGATTGTTATAGATACGGAATGCTACATTTATCAGAAAAAGTGCTGTATGATATCAAATTCAGTGATACTACGTCTATATTACCATTTTTCTAGACTGCTATGAAAAGGGGGAGCTATTACAAGGAGGTAGATATTTCAGCTGTTCAGAGCCGCGTTTGAACTTCATTGACACTCAAAGTTGCCTCACAATGGACTTTCGCGACAAACACAATAGGACTGTATGCAGTCTGTCACTCAGCAGAACAACCGATGCCTTCCACCCCATTATTCTGAAAGGAATCGAAACAGTTAACAACACACAATTCAAGTGAACCATCTAAACATCGACCGTTCAAGTGTGCACGCAAAGACTCACGGAACATGGCGGAAGCTGGACATTCGGGAGACAGATGAGATCTTCTCCTTTTACTTTCAAAGATTCCTTCCCAACCCTGTTTTCTGCATCACGTGCTGTAGGTCTTTTTTTTCTCTCTTTTTTTTTTTTTACCATGACCCGTTTAGAGTTTGGCAGTTCTTTCCATGCATGATATCTGTCTCACTTTTTAGATAAAAAATATATATATTAATCATTTTCGTCTATTTTTATTCAGGTCTGTTCAGTACGAATTTATAATGTACAAAATGCTACAAAATTTCGAAGCATTCAAGAGGATATAGCTAATTGTATGGGTATTCACAGATATGGGAGACAGAAGCACCGAGCCAGTAACCACCCAGGCCACGGAACAACGCGTGATAGGTAATTTGCCGAAAACAAAAATGTGCTTACTCTTACACTATATTTCCAACTGTAGCTCTTTGCACAAAACTGTTATATTCATGAAGAAGTCTTAATCCGATATTTTCTTAATGTATACGCTTGTGTCTGTGTATATGTGTGTAAACGTTTTGAAAAGTGTGAATGTATATTTACGCATGCATATGTAAACACACACACCGACATATATATGTGTGTTTGTGTGTCTGTGTGTGTGTGTTTGTACGTGCGCGTGTGTGTGTGTTATATTTTTTTTTACTGAATTCAGTAGGAAATAGATTACTCTCGTCTACCTCATTTTCAGATCTTACACTAACACTCTCCATGTCTAATTACAGAAATTATGCAGTGGTTGTCTCTCTCGCTGGCAATGATAGTTTTTCTTGCCAGCTTCTTCATCATCTGGCGCATACGAAAACTCAGGAATCAAGCATGAAAACGAATGATTTGACTTGCTTGGACAGAATTAGTACAAGTACAAAAGAACTAAGAGATCCGTATGTGGATGCTCCCATGTTCATGTTAAGAGAAAATGTAAAACCAGTAACATAGTGCTCATAGGACAGTAAGACAAACTATTGCTGAAAAATAGTGATGGCTAAACCTCTGCAGTTTGGAATCAATCGTTTCGTACATTTATTCCATAGGAAAATCTTTTGTTTGGAAAATAAGTCATGCTAAGGATGATGAATTTATATGTTGATTTGATTTATAAAATTGACCAAATCAATTTTGATTGTAGAGATCTTGGATATTATGCCGTTATATAAGTTAACACATGTAGTTCTTTAAGGAGTATGTTCATATGAGTCCAAAGAACATTTATAAAAAATCCTTCCATCTGCTCCTTATTTCACTCGAAAGTGTGTGGCATTGATCTGATTTGCTCTAAGATTCATTTTGAATGATTCTCTGAGAGAAAGACAAATATGCAAACGGTCAAAAGTTTTCTATAAAAAAAAGAAAACATGTTGCATGTTGATTTCTGTCTCTTTTCTTATTGTATATATATATTTGAATTCTGGGAGATTAGAACTGATGGTTGTATTTTCTCAAATGTAGTCTGTAGGAAGGAGTGCATTTCTTATCAATATGCTTGATCTGTGTATTTACATTATGTTTTTGGTTCAATTTCACTTCATGTAATTTTGTACACCACTCATGGTTTTGTCTAGCTTGTGAACCATTGTTTGTAATTCTAACAGCATAGAAGAAGATTGTGTCTTCGAGACGATTGGAATATAGATAGTTACTACA